TTGGCAAAAAACTTTAATCAAACGTAAATGGTTAAAAATGGTTAGGATCAGGAAAATAAAATTGTAATTAAGGAATTAAATATTACTAAACATTTTATAACAATAAAAATATGCACTTACAATGTAATTATTGAGATAATGGAATGAATAGTTTTGACAAATTTGAACAAACATCTGATCCAATGAAAGGAAATATGGCAACACTGTACACTGTATTTAACGCTTCGACTGACGTGCTATATTTGAATAGCTCGATTATAGACTATAAAATTATTCCAGTCGAAAACATACATAGTAGTAAAAATTTTTCATGATCTAATGCAATATAATAGCAATTTGAAACAAAAATTGAAAGGATCTCTTTGCAAAACAAACAGTATAGATAGATGTTCTGTCATAATCTTCAATTTGACTCACTACTATACACCGAGTTTCTTGATAGTTATCATATGGATTCTCAGTTTGCACATTTTACTTTTTTCTCATCAATGCACATTCTGTTTCATACGTATTTTATATTGCTTTTCAGTCATTATTTTTCCCTTGTATCTTGGATGTTCATTCATGTTACGGTATATGCGCTAAGCACAATTGAGTCCTCTAGTATCAAAACCCCTTAAATCCGTTTTTGATGAAAAATGAGATATACGCAGCAAAATATTCCTACTAAAATTCCCTATTGAAGTGTTCATTCGAATGATTGCAAAAGTTACCTAATATGTATAAAAATGTACTCTAAAAAGTGTGTTTAGATTCAAACGCCACGAAATCCATTTGAGCTAACATTCACACCCCACTAAATCCACAATAGCCAATCATAGAAGGCTAACGTGACAACATATGGTCGGCGGCGCTGTACAAATTTAATTTATGCAATATTAGATCAATCATTGTTGTGCTAGTATTATTGTTTTTAGTTTAGTCTTGTATTCGTTAACAAGTTCCAATAAAATAATGTCCGATATTACTACACAAATTGAAATTGTAACACCAGATAAAGGTAGAAAGCGAAGTAGAAGATGTTCCAGACCTGAGTGTTTAATTTTATTTTTTATTATTTTAGTATTTTAGTTTTTCATTAGTTTATTATTAATTTTTACTCGTTTTATTAATTATTAATAGTAATTATAATTACCTTATTAGTTTGTCTTTAATAAAAATGTGTGCCACCTAAATTTTTTTTGTCATTTTCATTTGTTCTTTGTCAAAACCCATTAAATCCACTTTACTGATATTCAAAATCCATTAAATCCTATAGTTGGTTTCAAATTCCACTAACTCCATTTTTGTTTTCAAATTTGTGGGTTTATTATAAACAATTTTGTTGTGTTTGATGCAATTTGTTGTCCAGTTAGTATTAAAATTTCACAAAACAAAATTTCATTACGGAGTCGCTATCAGAAGTTGGTTAAACAGTTTTTCTTCATTTATGCAAATTTCACTAAAGTGGATTTAAGGGGTTTTGATACTAGAGGATTCAATTGACAGTTCACCCCAACTTTTACCATTACTCCATACTGATGTGCAATGTTGCCAGATTTCATCCATAGTTTTACAAGCTCTTAATGTATAAATAGACACTTTTATTCAAATAAAAAGTTAATCGCCATGCACTGTATAAATTTCATTCGTATATATTATATTTAGTTCACTCAAATTAGTTTATGTAAGGTTGGTATTACAACGAAACGCCTGTGTATATGCATAGGCTTCCCTCCCACACTGCCCGCCCCGCAAAAGATCTATCGAACCTCCTTAACCTGTGGGATAAAAAGATATTATGAAGAGGGTTGGATTTTTTCATTTAATTACTATACTAATTTTCTTCAAAATAGGTGGATTTTCATTATTTTTTGTACTAATTGGTTGACATGTGAAGAAGACTAACAATGTGTAACTAACCTTTTCTGCATATAATGGCAAAATGAATAGGTATCTACATTTCTGTTATTCTTGCTTTAAAAAATATTTAGTTTGATTGTCGAATAGTGATGTGAAATAACCGTCATTTAAGCTCGTGACGGTCATTATCATCATAAATAGTTTCAGTTAGGAAAAATGAAAGTACTTAAATGTAAATAGTTTTATCCCCTCACTATGCAAAATAAAAGTAATTTTTCTGAAATATAAATTACTGAATCCTAATATTGCCTTAATAAATTCAACAACAAGAACTTGATATCAAAAAAGTTTTTAACTACAAAACAAACAACACAAAAAACAAATGTTCTTTGGCTATAGATTACAAGTTATAAAGTAATAAAACAAAATATTATTACCATTGGTTAAGTTTTAAAGACACCACGTCGCCAGGTGGAACATAAACCTAGTTCTTACCGCATTGATAATGAATATTTAATACATATTAATTTAATATTAATCTTAATAAAATCATTTTCTATGTGACGTGACGGTCATGACAGGTCACGACATCGGTCATGCGCTGTCTTACATCACTGTTGGTGAATTGTAATGGTTCACAATATATTGCCGCAGTAAATAAACTTTGACATCCTTTATTTCGAAAATGTGAAACATTTTATAAGCTAGTTAGTCTTACCGATGGAATGTCCAGATATACTGTTCTTAACGAAACAATTTGAATAGGAGAAAAAAATGCTGCTGTTTGTGAACATAAAAACTTATCTAGGAAGATTTATCAATATATGTATTGTAGACTCATTGAAAAAATATCTAGACCTTTATAAATTGCACTGATTTAGCTTTGCCTTTAGTACTCGATACATATTGTAAAATTCATAACTCAAGTTTAAAAAAATATATTTTTGTATTGATGCACTGCCAAAAGACCCAAGAGTATTAATAAATTATTCATTCTAAAAATGGTTGCAAATAATTGTGTCAATAAGATATTCTAAATAAAAGGAAACAAAATTTTATATTTATGTAAAATTCTGCCAGCAACTTTATCTTTTTCTTTAAAACTTTTTATAAAGCAGAAGACAGGACAGGCCGTTTGTATAGTACTACTGAATTATCCTAAGCTATTATGTACTTTAAAATATAAAGTTTTAAAGATCAAGCTATTGACTGAACCAGGTGTTATACAGGATGTAACTTTGAGTAGGGGGTCATATTTTTACAGAGGCTACCGTAATTTTCGTACTCTGTCACTAGACAAGTTAGTGTAACTTCAAACTAGGGCACGCTTTGGGCATAGCATGCACAATTGGGAACTAGGCTGTGCATTGTTATCAAATCTTATATTTAAAGGAAAGGTTATTAAAAAGCAAATTTCCACCACTCGCCGTGAGGTTTGGCACGTTACTTTTGTCGAGTGGGTGTTCGCCATAAGCCCTACCACCCCACAAAATCTAAAATTAATTCTTTTATGACTTTTATGTTAACTATGAAACAGTATTTAACAAGTAACCCAACAGAAAACTTAAGCAGTAATCAATAATGATAAATGAAGTACATAAAAATAAATGATCTGTTTACTCACCTGATTTTTATAACATAACATTTAAGATTTTGTGGAAAATTTTCGAGTATTAAAATTTCTGGTTCAAAGGTCCCATAGCCTCTTAAATGTTGAACCAATCTGACAAACATTTCAGTATTCGGTACTTACAAGTTGACGTAATCTATCTGATATCGTCTTTTTTGCTCCTGAGAAAAACTAGGCTCTAACCATATCAACTCTTTCTTGATTCATATATATGCTTTTTCATAATGTACAGAAGCTTGAAATTACAACATAAAATTTCACTGTATCGTCACTGAACAATGTAATAAATAATTTTATACTTACACTACATAAAGGCACTTATGTACAACATTCTCCGAACTTAGTCGAAGACTAAGCAAATATGTATCCAAATGAAACAGTGCAGTTTTCGGCCATTTCCGTTTTACCAGGTGTGAGAACACCTGGTAAAACGGAACTTTTCCGTTTTCAAAGGCATACTGCAACAGAACACTTTAAAATAATATGTAATATTAAATGAATCTGTTATCAGAAAATTATTTTTAATTACCTAGTTTTGTTGTCTAATAGTTGATTAAAAAAAAATATTTACAATTAGTAACATATTTCTGTATATTATTATTATTAGTATTAGTTAATATTTAATAAATCGTGTAAAAATTTTTGTTTTTTTTAGAAATGATGGATTGTTTTTAAGGTTCATCACAGTGATATCAAAAAAATATGGTGACTTTAAAATAACACTGCTAAGTTATAAAAATGCAATCTAGTTTACTAAATTATTTTTCATTTTCACAGCCCACAATGTAAATTGATTTAAGAACAATTGGCAGCGTTGATAGTGGCATACATAATAATTAAAGTGCATTTAAAAAAAATAATTATAGCTCAACTATTTATTTGATTAAAAAAAAAATCAGATTTGCGCTCAAGAGAAGACATACTATTACCCCTAAAAAATTGACCCCCACTTAAAGTTATATCCTGTATATTTTCTAAATATGGTCGAAAACTATATGCATATACTGAAAATACTTATTTCAAATTTTTATTAGAAATTCTATTCCATGATTTCAATAAGTAAGTTATTGTTGCCATTACCTTCTTTGTGATGTATTTTTTTTATAATTATTTCTCATTTACACATGCAAACAGATACACATATATTCTGATAAACAGCTTTACTACTAATTTATGTTTTGTATTTTGAGTGTCTAACATTCCTAGAATGGAACGAGAGTAATTAATAAGTAAGTATTATTTATTGCGATTTTATTGTTTTATATATATATAGTAATATTTTCTGTTCTTATGATTAAATGTGTTTTTTTAATGTTCACAGTACAAAAGCCAATATGTCGAATGTAATAAGCTCGTCATGAAGACAGAATGAGCCATTTGGAGTGCCCCCTTTCTTACCAAGAATGAGGAAATCCTTTAAGATTAATTAATATCTTTTTCTTTACTAACATATTCCTTTTATCTTATTAATCTGCATGAGGGCATCTTATTTTTTTCTTCTCACTGCTTATGTATTATTCTGTTTCAGTTGGTGAAGTTGTAGTTGATAGATGGTAGATTATCTCTTCAAGCGTCAGACTTCATGCTTTCTCAAATTAATTACAGAATAATTTATAAAAGACTCGGCTGGCTTTTTACCTAACAGTAAAATATATCTACTTTCTATTTTTTTATTTGCTGATGAAGTTTGTTATAATGTCTAGTTCAAATTTCCAAAAATTTATTTTAATTTGCAAACATTGTGTTGTCCATTCTGCAAGTATCACTTTTGTCTTCCTGACCCTGTGATGGTGTTTTAAAGGCGATTTAAAGTATAATTAATAACGAATTGTACATATTACATATTTTAAGATAAAAATGTTATGTATTGTATTGTATTTGATGATGCGAGATCTTTAAATGAATTGCTTGCAGACGAGATCAGCATCGACCGGAAATCGATATGGAAAGGGGGATATAGCCTCCTTATATTTCTCTGAGTGTTGCTTTCACCTTCACCCAATCATTAATTTTGCTAATATATTTACGACAATGAGGTTATACGATTTCTTCATTTAATCGAATCGGTTGAGCTGGTCTCGACTGAAAACTGGCTGTGCTGGTTTTGACAGCCATTATTGCACATTGTATAGTTCTACATAGTAATTTACATCAGTTTTGTAAACAGGATATTTGTGTAAATAAAGTGACAGCTTTGTGGCTGTCTCAGTTTATCTGTATTTACTTATTTCCACCTTTTACATACAGTTTGTAGCATCACCACACCCTTATGCAAGGTGCCGATAAATTGCCCTCCTATGCTACATTGGCCGAGAGTACACAACCATATGAATACAAGTAAATAGGTAATGAAAAAATAATAATTTGTAAACAGGACTCACCAATTGTTGGCAGGTAATGGGAAAAAACTTGAAAAATGCTTTCACTTTTCGTGACCGGCACCACGGGTTTTTTATATGTGTTCTTTCGCGTGTCGTATGGACTCTCTCTCTCTGGCGTACATCACTTTTTCGCCACTGTCGAGCCGTGCCGCTCATCGCAGCATGGTAAGCAGGGTAAGGATAAGGAATTTGGCAAAGTCACAAATCCAACCAAATTAAAAGTGAACAAAAGTTGAGGAACTCGTATTTGCATGTATGATTAAAAATGTAGTATATTTTAATAATATTATTTGTAATATTTTAATGACCCCCCAGAAAATTAAACCCATGACCAAAAAAAAAAAGAAATATATTATAGTAAAGAAAATTCTTAAACTTATATGCACAAAGGGTGGACAACGGAACATTTTCCCCCCCATAAAACACCATAAGGCGTTTTATTCAGCATCCGGTAACGGACATAGTTTCACTAAAGGACGTTTGAACACCCCTTTAGTGGTTCTCACTGTGGCAACTCTTACTACCCCGTCCAAACCGGGGTGATTTTCAATGATTCTCCCAAGTGACCACTGCAAAGGCGATTTTGTTTCATCCTTAATTAATACTAGTGATCCGACCTTGGGTGAATTGGGTGAATTATGCCATTTAGCTCTTTGCTGGAGAGTGTGCAAATACTCTTGGTGCCATCGCTTCCAAAAGTCATAATTAATGCGCTGTAAAAGTTGCCATCGTGTTAGTCTGTTTAAACAGACATCTGCATAAGTAGGATCTGGTAATACAGTCAAAGGTTCTTGAGTCAAAAAATGACCTGGAGTTAAACTAGTTAAATCATTAGGATCTGTACTTATGGCACATATAGGACGACTATTTAACATAGCTTCTATTTGAATAACCACTGTATTTAATTCTTCGTAGGTAAGAATTTGATTGCCAATCACTCTGGCTAAGTGTGTTTTGACGGCTTTTATACCTGCCTCCCAGAGCCCTGAAAAATGTGGGCTACCAGGCGGATGAAACTTCCACTCAATTGTTTCGGTACGAGTCGCATTGTACATTATTTGTTTTAAATATTTGTTAGACCCTACAAAATTGGTACCACAATCTGAGTAGATGGCTGAACAACGACCTCTTCGCGCAATGAAACGCCTCAAAGCTGCTAAGAAGGCCTCTGTTGTAAGATCTGAGACCAATTCTACATGTAAGGCTTTAACTGCGCAGCAAACAAAAACGCAAATGTAAGATTTTAAAGTTTTAGCCCCTCTCGTTTTACTCATAGTTATTGTAAAAGGCCCTCCAAAATCTATTCCCACAACTGAAAAAGGTTTTACCTGTCTAATTCGAAAAGGAGGAAGATTACCCATTGGAGGTTGGAGTGGTTTTGGATTTGTTTTCCAACAAGTTCGGCAATTATTTAATAGTTTTCGAATCGTTTTTTTAGCAGCAAAAATCCAATAATTTTGAGAGAGCAAAAAATGTGTGGTTTGTATCCCCGGATGACAGAATGAATTATGTATGTCTAAAATTAGAAGTTTCGTAAAGAGACTGTCAGAGGGTAACAGAATAGGGAAACGTTTATTGTAGTTTAATGTAGCCTGACCTAGTCTACCTCCTACTCGTAAAATTTTGTTCTCGTCTATAAAAGGATTTAGTTTTCGCAACGGTTTAGAAATTATTCTGCCTTTTAAAGTCTGCTGGATTTCTGCGGACAAATAAAGTGTTTGAATTCTTTGAATGATAAGATTTAACGCACTATTTAATTCAAAAATTGATAAATATGTCGTGCGCTTATTATCTTTATTTTTAATATTGTAAATAAAACGTAAAATGTATGCAAGTATTCTTTTAATTTTTGTAAGTGAAGAAAAACGTTCAAGTAAGTTGTCAATGAGAGTAATCTGTGCAACAGCAGTAAAAGTGTTCTTTTTTGATTCATCAGAAATTACACTGGAAATAAAATTTTTGCACTGGGGTAAATCCCATTCATCCTGACATTTATATAAGAATTGCGGACCCTGTAACCAAATTTTGTTATTCAAATATTCCAGAGGAAATAAACCTCTAGATCCGTAATCGGCAGGATTAATATTAGAAGGGACGTAATGCCAGTACTCGGGATCAATCCTTTCTTGAATGTAATTTACTCGGGAGCTCACAAACACTTTCCAACGATATGCCGGTGATTTTATCCAGGACAACGCGACACAAGAATCGGACCACGCGAATATGGAATTAAAGTGTAATTTGTCGTTATAAGTATTTAAAATATACGCTACAAGCTTTGACAATAGAACCGCCGCAAGCAGCTCAAGGCGCGGAACGGAAATAGTTTTAAGAGGAGCTACCTTTGTTTTAGAATAAATAAATTCTACTTTTATTGCACCCGAAGGATAGATTGCACGAATATATAAAACAGCACAGTAAGCATGTTGTGACGCATCACAAAACCCATGTAATTCATAAAATTTTAAGTCATTAGCTATGCCTAGATAACGATTTAGTTTAAAGTTTGAAATTGATGGTAATTCATTTTTAAACTTAAGCCATTTATTAGCCAACACGCTAGGTAAACTATCATCCCAAGCTAGGCCCATCGCCCACAATTCTTGTATAATTAACTTCGCAATTAAAGTCATAGGACTTAAAAATCCCAGAGGATCAAATATCCTAGCTATTTGTGATAAGATATTTCTTTTAGTAATAGTTGATTCAATAATTTTTACAGAAAAGAAAAAGGAGTCGGTCTGTGGACACCATTGCAAACCTAAAATTTTAATGATATGGTTATCTTCCTTGTCAAGCGACATAGAAAGCTGTAAAACATGATCATTAGGTAAATCTGCTAAAAGATCAGGTGTATTGCTTGACCATTTTCTTAATTCAAAACCACCTTTCTCTAATAACTTAATTAATTGATTCTTAACATTTTCAGCTTCCTCTTTTGTATTACCTCCTCCGGTTACATCATCTACATACGTATAAAATTTAATAATTTCAACTGCATCAGAAAACTCGGGATTCTCGTATGCTAATTGTAATAAACTTCTTATAGCTAAGAACGGTGCAGATATTACACCGAAGGTAACGGTGTTTAGTTCGTAATCTGTTAAAGGTTCTCCCGATGAGAAACGCCAAACAATTCTCTGAAATTTCCTATGTTCAGGTTTTATTAAAATTTGATTATACATTTTCTTTATATCCGCTGTAAATACGAATTTTGGTAAGCGAAAGTTATGTAAAATTTTAACTAAATCATTTTGTAGTTTAGGACCGGCACACAAAACCTCATTTAAGGAATGAAAACCGAGAACTTTACTCGAAGCATCAAAAACCACTCTAAGCGGAGTTGTAGTGGAATCTTTTTTAAATACGCAATGATGAGGCAGGTAATAACAATTTTCCCTAGATTTGTTAATATCGATTTTAGTTATGTATCCTTTATCAATATAATCAAAAATAAAATCAGAGTACATTCTATATAAGTCAGGATTTTTTTCAAACCTGTTTTCAAGCGAAAGGAATCGGCGAATCGCTAAGTCCCTAGTATTTCCAAACTTTAGAAGGGCATCCTTCTTAAAAGGTAACGCAACAATAAATTTATTATCGGTATGTCTGCGAGTGGTTTCAAGAAAAGAATTTTCGCAATATATTTCTTCCGGGGAAAGACGAGCTATCTCCGGGACTTCTTCTGTTTGCCAAAATCTTTTAAGTATTAAATTTAAATTGTCATCATCTTTTAGCATCGTAAAATATGATTTGGCTTGAGAGGAAATGTAATCCGAAATTTTTCCCATAATTACCCAGCCAAAAACAGTATTAATCGCAGATGGTTCATTATGACCACCCGTTAAAACTCCATTTTGAAGAATATATGGAAAAATATCTGCTCCCAATAAGACATCTATCTTACCTGGTAAATGAAAATTAGGATCAGCTAATTTTAAATGGGTGATGTGTGACCAATTATTTATAGCAATATTATTATTTGGCATATCAGAACAAATTTGATCTAAAATTATGGCATTAACTTTAAAGGAGATATCTGATTTTTCCAAAGGAAATATTTTTAAATTAATTCCCGATTTTGCAGGAGTGAACATTTTGTCTAAGCCTTGTATAGAAAGAGCAGCGTTAAATTTCGGAAGTGCAAGTTTATTAGCGCATGCTTTAGTAATAAAGCTTACTTGTGAACCAGAATCAATCACCGCCCTCATTGTATGCAAATTACCAAATTTATCTAAAATATTTACTAAAGCAGTAGACAGTAACACGTAATTAAAATTAGGTATAACTCCAGAGAGTGTAGAAAGAGAATTATTTTCATTTATATTAGTATTTTCAGTGGGCCTGGATAAATTTGTATTACTAGTGCTTGCCTCAGCTTCATCATCGTTATCACCTGAAGTTACGTTGTCAAAATGCAATATAGTATGATGGCTTTTATTGCAATGCCGACACCTTTTATCAGAAGAACAATGACAAGTGGAATGAGAGGTAGCGAAACAATTTATACAACATCTCACCCTTTTTGCAAATTTAAAACGCTCTTGAGGTGTCTTTGTTAGAAAAGAAGGGCATTTAAATATGATGTGATTAGATTTGCAAAATAAACAATTATTTGTAGAAGTTTTAGCCAGCAAAGTCTGTTGTCGACCTCCGGAGACAGGTATAAAAGCAGTTTTACGAGGGTATCTAACAAAGTTAGGCGAACTGGTACTACCTACTTTAATCTTTTTAGATTTTGTAAAGGCCTCCAAACCAGTGCATTGTTTTGAAAGAAATGAGTATAGTTCTTGATATGTAGGTATTTCATTAGAAGCATAATGTAATTCAAA